GGGCATTTTGTGACCACAATATTGAGCATAAACCGACATGAACATATGTGGGCAGTTACTACATGGTGTGCAAATGAGCAACAGTGCAGTTCAGTTAACAGTCACAGATGTAATTATTAATAACTATAGTTATGTTAATGAGGTTGCACAGACCTCCACAAGTCCAGTATTTAATCACTCTCCAAATTCCTCTTTATGAAAAACACAACAACTCTCCTTAAAGGGGACCTGAAACACTGCACATATAAAGGCTAATTTACACGATAGAGCACTGCTCTCAACCACTGACATGGATGTAACAGAATCAATAACTCAGAGGAAAATAAAGACACTAAAACCAAAAATCAGTTTAAGGGGATCACATTTGTGCTGTCTTTGCTGCAACAATGAGTTTTAATTAATTGGCTGTTAATGTCTAGCGTTTCTTGTCCCCTTTAACGCAGTCATCTTTTCCCTCCTATTTATTTGTGAAGTAGTGTTTACTCCAGCTTCTGTTAGGATGTGTTTACATTGTGAAACAACATCAAATGGATTTTGAAAGCATGAAAGGTCACAGCAGTGCAGTTTAGCTTCCCTTTCTGAGAAAGTGTTGCTGCTACACGTGGACCTTGCACCCAGGGCACAACTGTGGGGGATGGGCCACAGTGGTTGAACCATGGGGCCAGTGGCGCAATGGATAACGCGTCTGACTACGGATCAGAAGATTCTAGGTTCGACTCCTGGCTGGCTCGGAACTTTTCTTTTTTCTTTCTCGGGTTACATTGACAGTAGTACTCAGTAAAGTCTTTCTTTTTTTTGTTTCCTTTTCCACATGTTAAAATACAAAATTAGCAGGGGTTGATTATGAAATGATGCAGACATGTATTGGCTTTTTAAACAGTTGTTAAGTGAAACTTTAATTCGACTCCTCGCTGGCTTCTGATCTTTCATGTATTAAGTTGTGCTATTACTTTAGATTTTGTTAGTTTGTAAAATAAAACAGTCATTCCCACTTTCTTTTCATGTATTTTTTTTGAGCAAGGTTAAAAACAAAAAAAGCTACATCAGCAATGAGGTTGTGAGGCTAGATTGGAATGTGATTGTGCTTTTATGGGAACGGGCTCTAAAACATCTGGAGGGCAAATATAAAAAGAAATATTTCTGTGTTTATCCCCATTGTGTGATCAAGCACTTTAGAGTAAACAGTGCACCTGGGAGTCAACATGATAATGATGATGGCAGTCATCGTGGATCTTTTTTTTTCTTGTTTTTGTTTGTTTGTTTGTTTGTTTGTTTTTTAAATGTAACCGTTAACCTCGTCTAACCTTTGAGGTTTGATATATCTCTGTCTCTCCTTCGTTTTCCTCAGATCCTTTTCTCTGCAGATGACGAAATGGATGAGTCTGATGAAGACGATGTCCGTCGACTCACTGGTGTGAAGATGGTGAAAAAGAAGAAGCTTCGCATGGGGATCCCTGTCTGACCTGCGTGCCTAGCTTTACTGTTAGGATCAAAAAGTCTGCGTACATTTCCCCGTTCCCCTACAGATTGTGTGATATTGCCTTCTATCAGTGACCTTCAATTACAAAATAATACACTGTATCTGAAGCTCCTTTACCATTGGCTCCTGGAGGACAGCTATATGAACTTTTTTTTTAGCAGTCGACCATTTTTCTTTCCTTTGTTTTTTTGTTTTTTTTAATCATTGTTTATTTTAAACATGGCTCTCATGATGTGAGTGTTGTGTTTCAGGACACTGGGAAAAACAATGAGTGAAGTTACTGTTAAATCCTTAATGTAATAGGAAAACTGAACTGGCTCCAGCAGAGCCAAAGATGATGTACTGGGTTACATTTGATATCCTTCCGAAGTGCACCCTCCTCCCCCCAAAACAAACAAACAAAAATGAGCAAACAAAAAAAAAAAAAGATGTATTCCTTGTGTTCATTCCACGTTAACATCTGTCCTGTTGTCGTCACATGTAGATGCCCCACCATGGCCCGTGTTATACGTGTGTCTGTGACGGTGTGTACAATTGCACACCCTTTAACTTTAATAGGAGCATTATGTCAGGTTTTGAATCACTGTATTGACTCTACCGTATATCTTGTACGTGATGTTACATTAGTCGAATGGAGCACATTAATCCTTGCAGCAATCTTCCATTTCTTTTAACAAAGACATCTGAAGACTCTTTTGAACTGTTGAACCTGTAAGACTGCAAGCGCTGCACTGCAGCATCCTTCTAATGTCAGCTCAGCCACTGTTTTTTCTGTAAGCAAACGACTGCAACATGTCTGACTCTTTTACTGATGTGCTCTGACTGTATGTTTTAGTCCTTGAATGTACTTTTTTTTTTTTTTTTAAAGTTTTGAGTGTTTTACTTTCGGGCCAAAAAAGGTGAGTATGCTCATCCCAAAAGTGTTTTTTCAGTAAATATGGGAACAGGTTCTTGCACAATTTCCCATTTTTCTCAGCTTTTGCCTTTCCCCGTTCTAATGTGTGGGTTTTTTTGTTTTGTTTTTTTCTTTTGTTATTGTTGTGTTTTTGTTTTGTAGTTCCAACAATGTGCCTGAGTTAAATTACCAGCAGTCTTTTTATTTTGGGTTTTGGTTCGGTTTTGTTTTCTTTGACTGTTTTAAGCAGAGCTCGAGATCTCCAGAGGGGTATACTACGAAGACAGTTTTAACACAGCCAGGCTTTCTTTGTGTTAGTATCATCTTATTAGTACATGCACATTCCAGTAAAAATGTGGAACTTCATTCAGTGGTTTATTAAGATACAGCTTAACAACTTGCACAAATGAAATACATTCCCCTAGCATAGAATCTACATTGCGCTTAACACATGCTGTAAGTGAAAATGTGAGACTTCTGCTAATTTTTAAACTGAAACTCAGAACATAACCTGCTCCTGTCCAGTAATGGAGTCACATTAGTGACACAAAACTCTGAGTTTAAGCTCAACATAGTTTTCTAAACCACTAATCTCACTTTGTAGTACACCCCTCAGGCATGAAGCACCATCCAGCAGGCTCTAATCTTAAGAATGTGACGTACATAGACCTCTAAACTGTAAACAGTAAGTGCAGACCAGGCAGCTGAGAGAAAGGGTGTGCTTGTGTGTGTGATTTAACACACACACACTAGTGTGTGTGTATATAAACTGGCATGTGCTGAATATATGTGTGACTGCTGGTCCTGTTTAAAGTAAAAGGCGTGACTTAAACTACAATGATTACGGTGCTGCTGCTGATTTCATTCTGATGTTTTTGGCATGTTGGTAAAGAAGGAAAGACTGTGCGTTTTTAAAAGGGGGAAAGTACGGGACAGTGCAGAAGTCATGGTAACTGTCAGCTGAACTAGGACAAAGAGGGCTTTAGTATTTTGCAGAGCTTAATCTACTTCATGAACAACATCTGATGGAAATAAGTTATCATATAAATGCTTTCCAAATAAACGGTATGATACAGAATGAAAGTAGTGGATTACCTTTCTGTTGTGGCAGAGAAAAGGTGTTCCCTGACCGGGAATCGAACCCGGGCCGCGGCGGTGAGAGCGCCGAATCCTAACCACTAGAGCACCAGGGATTGAAAGGGACCACGGTGTGACGTCATAAAATGTGTAAACGCATTTATGTTTAAAAAAAACAAAGGGGGGATGATGTTCATCCTAAAACTGTTTTTCATACCTTGACTTTTAAACTTTGTATTTATTTTATAAAAGTGAGATTCAAAGATATTCATTGATATCTGCATTTGTTTTGTTTTGTTTTGTTTTTTTAATGCCATGTTTATACAACAAAATTACAACACGGTGATGATTTCAGCATCTCTTTAATTGTGGGGATTGCTTGCTGTTTACCACTAGGGGTAACGCTTTCCTTATCAGAGTCGACCGGTAATGATTGTGTTCCCAGAAATAGATCTGCTTTCAGCAAATACACATGCAGTAATTAAGCATCAGGAGCCATTCTTAGGGGCTCTTTAAAGTTCATGACATGTTGGATCAACAGCTTAATTTAAAAGGCACCTTTTGTCTCTTTGTCTAAGACTTTTTGTCTATTTATTACTTTTACTGTAAGTACCATGTTCTGCTCAAAAACATATAATTTGTTGCGTTTGATATTTTAAGTGTTGTGGTTTTAAATGCTGATGATGGAGCTCCAAGCCAGTTGTTTAAGGGTGAAGGATATATTTAACGGGCCAGCATAAACATACATGCGTAATGAGATGCTCTAAACATCGCACTGGGAAAAGTCTTAATAATCATCATAATCATCATCTGCACAAACAGGTAATCCAAATGATGGCTAAAAGTCCTATAACTGCTTTGACTGCTCTAAATGGGTAACACCACATACAAACAGTAACGAGTCTTACTGTGTGTCACTGAGTTAAAACAGTGATGAGTCGGTGTTTCCATGATCCCACAGCTCACACCTTGAATTTAAACACTGATGCCAAGTCTAATGAGTAATATTGCCTGAACTGTTTGCTTACTTGTTCCAGGCTAAAAAGAAAAGTGTAAACGCATTTAAAACAATCCGGATCGAGTGCATAAAGTAACATGATATTAAGTCCTAATGGTCCATACGAACAGATTTGGCAGAGAATGCGTACTGAAAACACAACTGGTCCAGATTGACATTTGGGCGGCTCTTACTGGTCCAGCCCTTATTTTGATGGTTAACTGGCTGAAAATGCTTTTTATAACATCCCAACAAGAAACATCCTCTTGCCTAAATCAAGTTATTGAACTGAGTAAGCAGATTCCCGAAAACTGGCTCTACAAGGCGGTACTGCTGGGTGGTGATCACTAGTTTAATGTAGTCCAAAGTGCAAAGCTCTACAGAGACATTTTCAAAAGAGGATGTGAGTGCAGGGTTAACCAGAGGAGGAGGTGTAGCCTTCTGCCACTCCTGTTGTGACTTGAAATTGTCAGCTGTTGGCCTGTAAGCTTATCGTTAACGATGGGAGCCCCATTCCAGCTGTACTGTCCTTCACGTCACACCTAATAATACACTGTGACAACAGGCAGTGGAACCGATGGCAGGGGGGGCCTGACTGACTCACTGCAGGCTGACACAGGACTATATATAATGTCTGGGGGACAGACACACACACACAACAGAATAACAACCAACAAATCAATTACACTGTCTGCGGGATCAGAGCACCAACTCTAACAGCCATGTCACAGGTACGTTACATCACCTCACATACAGCAAATGAATACACAATGAATCCACGCTTAACCAGAGAGTCACATACGTTTTATTTGCCCTTATTTTCTTTACTGTAGCCAGGCGAGGTAAAAAAGAAGAAGCGCCCACCGATGAAGGAAGAGGACCTCAAAGGAGCCCGCAGTAAACTGGGACTGAAGGGCGAGGTTAAGAGTAAGACCTATGAGGTCATGGTGGAGTGTGGTGAGTAAAGTCTTTGCTGTCTGCAAAGGCATTATGTCTTCCTGGAATAACAAGTATGAACTCATGGGCGCATAGACCGTAAACATGACTATGTATATCTCGTAAAAACAGACTAGTTGACTTTGTGTTGTATTCGTGTCCGATTGTTTAAAAGAGAGAGGAAAAAAAAAAAAAGAGTTCCCTGACCGGGAATCGAACCCGGGCCGCGGCGGTGAGAGCGCCGAATCCTAACCACTAGACCACCAGGGAGAGCTGAAACTACGAAAACATGTATCACTTTTAAAGGACACACCGACGATGAGTTCCCCGTGTTTCGGGTAGTTTTCTTGATAATAAATCACCAATGGTTTCTGTCGGAGTGAGTGGAGGGACATTTTATAGCTTCTTCAAACATTGACATTGGACTCTATGAAGAAGTAAATACAGAAAAAAAGTCCTACGACAGCACTATCTCACGAACATTGCACACATACACATCCATATAAGTGTACTAGATGTCCACACTCCAAACACCTCATAGTCTGATATAGTTTTAATAGCAGCTTACTTGGACATGACGTTGAATCGAGGAAGTGCCACAAATAGAGAGTGTTTTTCTGACATGTGTCTTGTGTCTCTGTCTCGTTCTGTGATCAGAACGCGCGGGCAAAGTTGCTCCATCTGTGTTCAGTGGTGTGAGGACAGGAAAGGAGACCGTGCTTGACCAGCCCACAGCTGCCAAAGCTCCTGGAGCCAGTGTGTTCAGCAAGTGAAGCACACTGCAACCTGAAACCAAACAAATAGCACAGGATGAACATGCACACTGTTGGCTTTGTGCTTCAGACTCAGAGACTTTTAAGTGTGTGCTTCTTCCTGCTTTAATGAAAAATATAAGAAAGATTAATTGAAGACAGATGAATGTGGTTCATTGCTATGATTATATATTTTGAAAAATTTTTTTGTTTTTTTTACTCGTGTTCAGCATTTTCCTAAATAAACTCTCACTGTGACAAGCAACCTTAAGACTTTTATTTCAACATATTATAATCTGCTTATTGTAACCCAATTATTGTAAAAGTAAAAAAAAACAACCCACTTTCGAACAAATGTTTTTTAATGCAAATGTGCACATCTGCACCAAAATACAAATGTGTGATAAATCCTGATGTTCTATTATTGTACAGGACTGTAAAGCTCTTTCTTTTAAAGTTATGTGTTAACAAATCTCTAGATTTTCAGAGGCCTTCCCTAAGTATCAAAAAAATAAATGTTCATTTGTTGTATTTTAAACGCTGATCCCTAACTAGTGAACAAATAGAAATGCGGGGGTTGGTCAACATAGTGCCACAAAATGAGTTACCAGATCTGGCTAGGTCTGGAGTAGAGAAGAGCCAACATCAATAGTTGTTCGCCAAAATTGCAACACAACAAATAAGCAGACAAAAATCTAGTTTACTGTCTGCGGAGATTATGTCTACTTATGTTTCTGGGCTTAATGACAAACACATCTTTACATAAATGCTGATGATGAGAAATGATAAAACGCCTCTTGTAGTTTCTGACAGGTCTTCACTTTTTAATTCCAAGAGCATAAAAAGACTGTAAATTAAAGTCCCACACAAGAACCTCCTTCCTTCAGCCAAAACAATGAAGGCGAGATGTGGAAGATCTTGGAGTGACCTAGCCAGTCTCCAGACCTCAGGCCTGTAAAAAATAAAGTTTTGAGTTTCCAGGCGGCAGCCAAGAAACCTAAAGGATTTAGAGAGATTTAGAGACATCTTTCCCCATCTCACAATGCTGTGATTGCAGCCATTCTCCAGCTTTCTGTGAATGGTACTCTTGCCCGTTAATCTGTAGTCTTTGATCAATGGTCTTTGAAAAGTGTTTGTTGATCAATGGTCATGACAATTTGCATATTAATAATCAAGGAACTGACCTCACAGCCCATTGTTCATTTAGTGGCCTCGTTTCAGTCATTGTGTAAAGGTACTGTTTATATGGTTGGACAAACCTGCAGTCAGCTGTGACTGAAGAAGTCACTTGGATGAGTGATGAAACGTTTCTCCCACTGAAAACGTTACGTCCAGATGAACAGAATCAACTTTTTCGGATTACTTTCTTGAAACCGTTGGTGTCGATTTTATTGTCACTTTGCTAAGTCTTTAATTAAGTGTCGATTGGATTCACTCTCCCAAACATCCACAAACTAGCAAATATTATCTTTGTGGTTCACAGCACCTCACAGCCTCCTGGACATTGAGCTTAGGGCAGCTGGTCAATATAGGAAAACACACAGATACGTGTCCCTCCCACAGGGCGCTGAGAGTTTTGCTCTGCACTGAAGTCAGCCAGTGTTCAGTCAGAGTTTGGTCATGTCTGGACTGTTGGGTGTTCGCCTGCTGCTGCTGTGGGGCTGCGCCTGCCTCTGGCTGAGCAGCTCAGCCTCAGGAGCTCTGGTCATCTCCAGGCACGATGAAGCCATACAGGTAACGTCAAACACTTTTGTGATATGAAACTGAAATAACTTTGTGGCATGATTTTGACAGCGCTGACTTCAGAAAGTAGTTCTATGATTTTTTTTTTTTAACCCAAAACCCTTAAACGCCAACTGTGTCTGAGTTTTTTGTAAGCTTTTTCTTAAAACTTACTTCGTGTAATCTCCGTAATATCCTGTGTGTGTATTTCAGGAGAGAAGAGGAGCTGCCAGATCACTGCAGGTACTTGGAAAACTATTCACACATAGTCTCTTTGTATTAGTGAAAACATCTCATTAGTTTTTAATCACTGCTAAAATTCAGTTTCTGATACTGCGTCATAACAGCTCAACTTCAACATAACACAGATCACACTATTTTTAAAGATATATCTGCTGGTAAACCAATAACTATATAAACATGCAGTGGAAATTAAGAGCTTAGAGCAGCCTTATTATTTTTTAATGTGAATCTATCGCCCTTTTTTCTTACAGAAAAGAAGTACAAATGAAGTAATGGTAAGAAATGTATCCATTCATATTCCTGGTGATGATAATGGTGATGGGAGATAATAGTTTAAATTCAGATTAAAAAATCAGATTCATAGAGAGAAACCCATTTTTATCTTCTTACATTTCCTTCTGTCTCTCTGTCTCAGGTGGAGGTGCACAGTGTGACAGTGGACTGCACTGTGACCTCTTGTTTTGCCCACACTGTCATGACCTCCAAGGCGTTCAACAAAGCAAACTCGTCACAGGAAATCTTTTTTGAAGTGGAGCTGCCCAAGACTGCTTTCATCACAAACTTCAGCATGTTAGTCTGTTTCCTCTCTAATCATTCTGACAGTTTTTATAGGCCAGTCCTTCATTTCACAACTGTGCTCCAAAGCTGAATTTCTTACTATCTTGGTGTCAATTTATGTGCTTTAACATCCCTCATGTCTATCTCCATCTTTCACATCCACAGGGAAATTGAGGGTCAGGTGTATGTCGGAGAGGTGAAGGAGAAGGAGAAAGCTAAGAAACAGTACGAGAAGGCTGTTTCCTCTGGACAGACTGCTGGACTCGTCAAGTGAGTCGTCCAAATGAACCAGAAACACAGATCGTGTAAATTCACTGGAGAAGCTGTCAGATGTCTGTGTGCTGTTTTCTTGTTGTTGTTTTTTCCAGGGCTTCTGGGAGAAAGATGGAGAAGTTTTCAGTCTCTGTCAATATTGCAGCTGAAAGCAACGTGACCTTTGTCCTGACATATGAGGAGCTCCTTCAGAGGAAACTGGGCCGATATGAGCTTTTGACCAGAGTCAAACCCAAAACACTGGTTCAGGACTTTCAGGTGAATCCATGTTTGATTAGATTCCCTACTTAGGGTGTCCCAAAAAATGTATTCTTTGTATCTGGCTGTAGTGCTTTCAGTGGGAGAAACGTTTTGTTATTGTGCAAAGATACATTTTGATGATTGACAAAACATTTCTCCCACTGAAAGCACTACAGCCAGATACTGTTTATAAGGTTGGACAAACATGCAGTCAGCTGAGACTGATGAAGTGACTTGGATGAGTGACAAAATGTTTCTTGCACTGAAAACAGTTACATCCACATGAACAGAATCCACAAATCAACTTTTTGGGATTTCCTTACCTGGATGATTGAGCATGCATTAAGACATTTTAACCCTCATAGGGTGATTTCCTGATTTACATTAGAAATGATCTCCTGTCTCCATGTTTGCCTTTGTGGAAACAGATTGTGACAAACATCTATGAGCCTCAGGGCATTTCTTATGTTGACGCCCATGCAACCTTCCTCTCGAATGAGCTGCTCCCTCTGGTGGAGAAAACTGTCACAGACAGAAAGGTACCTTCATACAAT